CCCTCGGACCCGGGGAGGACTCCAGGAGAAGGGTCGGGAGGGAGCGGCGACCACCCGCCCCCGGGCCCGCGGCAGGGCTCGCGCGTGAGTACTGCAGCAGCCAACCTGGGGATGGGAGGCGGGGGGACCAGTCCAGCACCGGGCGAAGGCTGGGAGGGAGGACGTCCTGGGGGCCCGGGGCCCGGAGAGCGCAGAGGGGGCGCCCTGCCTCCTGGGGAGCGGGAGAGCACCGGGTGAGGGGGCGAATCTGGCCTGTCCCCTGTGGCAAGCAGATCCCGGTGACAGACCCCTGGGGGAGGAGGGGGGAGCCGGGAACGATGGAGAGAGGCGGGGAGGGGAATTCAGAGGCAGGGATGGCGTTGGGGTGGGTGGTAGGGAAGGGGGGCTGAAGGGACCCGGTGCAGGCTGCGGAAAAGGGACTGCCGGAGGGAGGTGGACGATACTTGATCTCCTGGGACACTAATTTGCAGCCTCCTCAGCCTCTGGCCTCTTCCCCTCTAGGGCCCTGGGCAGTTCCCCTGTTCACTGGACTGTGCCACCCTCAAGGAAGGATGGAGCCTCCCGGTCAGCCAGGGGTCAGGTCGTCAGGTCGGGTGTCCAGGCCCGGGCACCCTCCCCTTCTAAATGCACCAGTGTTAGCCCTAGAGCTTGGAGGGGAGAGAAGCGGGCTCATTTGCGAGTGGGTGGGCGTCCAGGCCAGTTTGCAGAGCTCTGGCTAGCTATTCCATTTCTTCTTTGGTTCCCTGGAGAAGGGAAAGCAATTTGCTAAACTGGGCAGCAGCCTGAGGTAGATTGTCCTGACTATAATTAGCACTATTCTGATGAGGCTGGGCACACTGACCTGTCTGGGATAGCTGAGGGAAACTCTCCATGGAGAACACACAGGGGAAGCTGGGAAATAGTTTGAAGCATATGAGGGGCCTGGCCCCAGCAAATCCACCCCACACCAGCCTGGACACCAGAGACAAACTCAGCCCCTCCCGGGGGCCAGTACCCTGGCTCCATCTCCAAAAGAGTCACCAAGAAGTGAACTTGCCAAGGAAAGGGAGGCTGCCTCCGATGTCCGAGCAACACTCTTTTGGGACCTGGAGCATTTATCCTGGCCGAGTGCCCACCCACAGGAGACAGGGTTACTGATTTCAAACACCTAAAGGTCTGTCATGGAGAAAAATGGTCTGTGTGGTACAGGAGGGCAGTGCTAGTTACCATGCAGGGCGGAAGGGGCCAAGCTGAGGATCCTAGCTATCCCAGGAAGAACTTTTGAACAGCCAAGGCTGCTCAGAAATGGACCAGGCTGTATCTGAAGGCGAAGAGTATCCTGTTATTGATGGGGACCAAGCAGAAACTGGTGCCTGGGGAATTCTTGTGCTAAAGATGCCCTGTTCCCAGTGAGCCTCACACTGGGGTCTGGCTGGCTGGCTCCCTGGGGCTAAGGGGAATGGGATGGAGGGGGCCACCAAGCAGCCCATTGTCCTTCTCTGTGTAGCCCGGTTGAAGCATCTCCCAGGGAAAATTCCACTGTAGCTCCCTCCAGGCTTGGCATCTTTGGTCCATCCAGAGTCCTCTGAAAAATAAGGTGGTTCCAGCTAGTTTAACAAAGATGGGATAGGTTGGCCCCCCACTTTGCCCTTTTGGGAAACTCCTGTCTGGCCACCAAGTCCTTTAGGTAGGATAAATGACAAAGGGAAAAAGGCCTGCATCCCAAGAGAGCCACTAGCTGACTTCCTCCTGAAGGCTGGCCACACAGGCAGAGCCAGCCCTCCTCTGCCTGGGGTGGGGGGAGGGGAGGTATTGGACTTTCTCTGCTGTCCTTGGTTGTCCTCTGTGGTTGGACCCTTCACTCCAGGCAGATTAAGTCTGTCTGTAAGCTGGTGGAGGGGCCTGGAGAGGAAGGAAAGGCATAACCAGAACATCTTTCCACCCAAACAGGTTTAAGTGTAATCCAGGATTCATTGGGGTGGGGGGAAGAGGAAGAATTGGAAGCCAAGCCCAGGGTCCCCAGGGAAGGTGATGGTCAAGAGTTTTCATATTACTTCACCCTGCCTGGGACCCAGGTATCCCACATGTGCACATGCCCACAAGGTTCCAGGTTCCCCCTCCCTTTTGGAGAGGGGGGTATATGAAGCAGAAGCTGAACCAGAACCTGGAGACTGAGGCCCCTGGGGTAGAGACCCCACAGTAGCAAGAGGGCAGGCATTGCTACTGAAGCTGACTTTCCACTGGAGTTGCCAAGGGCTGCTCTGCCCTTGAGCCAAGAACTTCATGTGTGGGGACAAGTGACTGACTGGACACCAGGCCTTCTGCTTCTTACAGCTGTCATTCACCTAGGATGCAGGCCCACCTTCTCCAGGAGACTCTCAACAGGGCAACAAGCAGGAACCCCTCTGCATTCCCCACACCCCTGCCCCACTCCCAGGCTGCCATCCCAGCCTTGGCCAGGCACCTGTCTCTCCCTGTAGAGTAAGCTGATGGGGTGGCCAGGGTTTCAGGTGTCTGGTGATGGAATCCAGATAGAGTTCCAGGATTTCAAGTCCTTCCTTTCTCTCCCTCATAGATTTATTGGTCTTGGGCCCACAGAGCAGGAGCCCAGGTAGGAGGGCTCAGGGCTCAGAAGCGTGCAGAAGTGCCAGAGTCCAGGGCAGGCTGGGAAAATCAGTTCTCTGCGGAAGCAGCATGCCTGTCTAAGGGGATAGGCTCCGGAGCCAGAAAGAGCTACTGACCCCAGATTCTGCTAAGACCAGCTGTGTGACCCAGACAAGGGGCATCATATTTTAGAGCCTGTTTCCTTGTCTGTAAAGTGGGACTAATACCTGTTAGGGTTGAGGTGATTAAACAGGATTAAATATACAATAGTATAGTACAAATAGTAAGCCTCCAGTATTGACCCTCTCCCTATGTCAGACACTTGAGAAGGTGAAGGCTTGGTCAGCGTTTCTGAGGGGCTCAGTTTCTGGGGCATCAAAACCAACCCTTGGCTGAAGCCATCAGGTAAGGAGTCCTAGAGGAGGGGAAACCTGGAGTTGAGACTTCTGTGCTCTGAGCCAACCCTTGGTGCTAAGGCAAGTCTACTGGGGAGACAGATACAAACAGCTGTGGGACAAAGACGAATTAGGGGCAGGTAGAGAAGCAGATACGGGGCTTAAGGAAGGGAGTGGCTATAGCCTGAAGGGCTGGCCACACCCCAGAGCCTGTAATTCCACCCAAGACTTAGTTATCTGGAGCAGTGTGGAGATAGGGTCTGGGTGACGGGAGGTAGGAATCTGATCTTCCCTGGCCTCTCTGCTCACCCCACTCTTGGGAGCTCTCCCTTGCAGCAGTCTGCTGGGGCTCAGAGCCCATCTCCTCTGCCCGCTACAAACCTGTTTGCCTCCTTCTCCTGCCAGGCCTCTCAGGAACACTGGCCCTGCTACCAGAGCCCCAGGAGCCCCCATGAGTGCCAGCAGCGGGTGTCCTGGATAGTGAGACCCTGGCCAGTCCAGGGGCAGGGACCCCATCATGCCACCCATTCTCCAGCGCCTACAGCAGGCCACCAAGATGATGAGCCGCAGGAAAATCCTGCTGTTGGTGCTAGGATGCAGTACCCTCAGCCTCCTCATCCACCAGGGTGCACAGCTCAGCTGGTAAGGGGCT